AGTCGCTTGAGAGTCCCAAGAAGTTCCCCAGAAGGGTCGCCTCAGAGCCATAAGGAGTTCTCGTCTCTTTTGTCTGTAATCAGAGATGGCTCCAGGAGTCCATGATAGCCCCAGGAGGGTCTCCTAGATGCCGCCCGAAGGGTCGCTTGAGAGTCATGAGAGGTTTCCCAGTCCAGAATCGCAAGGTTTCATGGCTCGCGAGACTCCTGATAAGCGCTTTCGCCTCCGTGCGGCTCTGGATTATCACGGCATGGTCCCTCTCACACGCTCGGCCGCGGCATCGAAATCAACGATGATTCGCAAATACTCCCGCGGATGGGCGGGTCTCACGTCCGGGATCGCCCTTCCCGCGGTCCAGAGTTGGAGTCAGACCGTCGGCTCCTTCTGCGGACCCCATGTTTCCCTGGGCGCTGCTGCGGCCGAGGGCGGACGGCGCCGCGCGTGCACCGTGAAGCGAGGTGCCTTGTTGGTTCGGCGGGGCCATTTGTTTCCAGAGCGCGATGTGCAGCCGCAAACCCAAAGCTGGGCAACGACAGCCCTCACACGGGATGCAGTTGCAGCCGCGCCAGATCTTCCATACAACAGGGTACTTCACGCTGACAGGAAGAGTGGAAGCGGAGAGAGAGAGAGAGAGAGAGAGAGAGATAGAACAAGAAGTAGAAAACAAATCAAAAAAACGTAGGATCCAAAATGGCCCCAAGAGGCGCCATAGAAGGGCACCAGACGCCCGCAAGAGGCTTCTAACAGGCCCCCGAAACGCATGCCAAGAGATCCTGAGGGGCATCCAGCGCGGGAAGACAGAGTGATGGCGGAGGGGGGTCCTTGCGCCGATTGAATATAACACGATGGATTTTTTCTTGTAGCTCCAGGTCGGCGACGACACGCGTCCGCGGGTATTAAAAAAAAAAACATCGGCGCAATGGGAAGTGGTGGGGGGCGGGTATGAGACGCCAGAAACGGCGCGAGCGCGCCTAGCTTGCATCCCCCCTCGATCCTCGCCGCCGCATGCTTCCTCCCGCCTCCTCCACACACACACACACACACACACACACACACACACGTTCTCCCCTTTTGACCTTCTCGAGACTCCTCGCGCATGGGGCGGGGAGAGGCGGCGGGCAAGGGACCAATGGGCAGGGAGGGAAGTGGACGAGGACGAATAACAGAAGCAGGAGATGGAGCTGAGGGGGCGGGCGGAGCAGGAGGGCCAAAAGAAGTCGGAGAAGGGACAAGGAGGGAGGCGGCACCGACGCAAAGAAACTCGGATCCTGGAAACGGCCCACGCCGGGGCGAACAGCAACCCGACCCGAAAACGAAACTCGCGGTGCAGCGGGAGCACCATTTTGACTCACCGAAAGTACTCTGAAAACATTTTGCGCGGAGGGGGCAGGCTGCCCCGAAGGCGTTTTTGGTGGATGGGGGGAGTAGCACTCGTTGCGTGCAGTTGTGGGAAGGAAAGAAGGACGGGCGAGGGAGAAGTCATCCCGGCGGGTAGAACTTGCAGAGGAGGGGTGGGGAAGGAACTCTCGCCATCAACCCCTGCCGCTCCCGAGCTAGACGCCCTTCCCGTCTGATCCCCTCCTCCTCCTCCCCCTCCTCCGATGCGATTGGTTAATGTTATGCGCAATGGCCGCTTCATTTAACGAGCTGCACCCCTGGTCGACTTTCGACCCACGGGCAACGACGCCGTTTTATATCCAAAAAGGACTGGGTCTGCTACAAGCTCGATGCACCCGCGTTCACGGAAAAAAAGCGAGTTTTTCAGTACCAGTAGCAGGGTTTCAGGACTGTCGATAAACGCACGTTTGCGTCATCAATCGGGGGGCATAGAAGCGTGGCCGGGACAGAGTGGAATATGGTAGAAAATCGCTAATTTAAACGGCCCCTGGAGAAAGGAAATGCGAGCATCCACCTTGGGATAGCCCCGCATCTACAAACCCCCGAATCAAACTATTGGAAATGAGATGGCATCGTCAAGCCTTGATGACAGGGCACCTCTGGGTAGCCTGGGCCCTCCAATGTCTAGCGCGGCCCTCGGCTGGCCAGCTGCCAACCGGCCGCGTGGGGCTCTCTGTAGGAGCGCAGGAGTGCTCGTTCCTGAGCTCCGAGAACGTCATCAAGGTGCCGTTGTGTTTTTTGACCAGATTCGGCGTGAGCGCCCGTTGGAGCTTCTCCTCCTAATCCTCCTCCTCCTCCGCTTCCTCCTCCTCCTCCTCCCCCTCCTCCTCCTCCTCCTCCCCCTCCTCCTCCTCCTCCTCCTCCTCCTCCTCCTCCTCCTCCTCCTCCTCCCCCTCCTCCTCCTCCCCCTCCTCCTCCTCTGCCTGGGGCGGCAGCAGCCGGCGTCTCTCCTCCTCGTCGGGCAGCAGCTGGGTCAGCGCCGCCCCGCAGGCGACCGCCAGCGGCGTCGCGGAGGTCTCCAGGTCGGCCAGCCCCGCGGGGCCCGTTCGCGCCTGGGCCACGGCCAAGCTCTGCCCCCAGTCGGGAGACTCTTCATGGGGGGGGATCCCATGGGGGGATAGGATCCCAGGGGGGGGATCCCATAGGATCCCTGGGGGGATCCCATGGGGGGGCAGGAGGGGATCCCATGGGGGGGATCCCCTCCTGCCCCCCCATGGGATCCCCCCCCATGGAGAGTCTCCCGACCCAGGACGCCGCCCAAGCGGCCGGCGCCCACGCCGACTGGCCCCGAAGCCCTGGCCGCCCAGACGCCGCGGCAGGCGGCGCTGCGCCCGCCGGTCGGCCCGCAGAGAGGGTCGAGGCGCGCGAGCTCCTGGCGCGCCGCGAGCACGGCCTCGTCGCAAGCGGCTGCAGCGGCCCGGGAGTCGGTCGGCGGGCTGGCGCGGAGCTGGCGCGTGAGCTTGCCCGCGCCGCAAACTTGGAGGAGGAGGCCCACTGGTCGCGCCGCCAGGAAGCGGGGCGAGGCCTGCGCTGGCAGCTGGGCGAGCGTCCGCAGCAGCGCGACACCGCCGCTGTCGCCCCGCAAAGCGCCCCGCCGGAGCGGCTCGCCCAGCGGGGCGCCCAGCAGCGTCAGGCCGCCCTGGCGCCAGGGCGCCAGCCCGCCCCCAGCCCGGGCGGACAGGGCGCGCGCGCGGACCAGGCCCGCGCCTTCTGCAGCTGGAGCTCGAGCCCGGGGCCTCCCGGGGCAGCCCGCGCGGCCGCCTGGACTTTCTCCCCAGCCAGTGGCGGGCGCAAGTACGACGACGTTTGTCCAGGCAGGCCACGCCGTGGCCCGCAGCTCCTGGGCGGCCGCAGCCCCGGGCTCTCGCGAGCCCTGCCGTGCCCCGCAGGCGAAGAGGAGCGGCGCCAGCAGCCCTCCCTGGTCAGCGCTGCCCGCCGCGAGGGCAGGCGGTGGCAGGCGCCGCTGCTGCCTCAGAGATAGCACAGGGAGCGTCGGCGGCAAAGAGGAGGAGGTCCGGCGCCGTGGCCTCCAGCTCTCCCAGGCAGCCCTCGCGGCTCACAGTGCTGCCGGTTTTTGTTGGCGACCGATGCCACGAAGACCACATCTGGGTCGACTTCCATGGGCGACCGCACAGAGTGCGCCAGCAGCTCCGTGCCCGCCTCGGCTCCAAGTGCGAACTGCGTTCCCAGCGCGGCCGCCGGCTCTTCCCTCCTCGGCGCCTCCAACTCTTTCCCCACCAGGCGGCGCAGGATGCCAGGGGGCAGCTACAGCTAGGTCGAGCATGTCCTCCTACAGGGGAATTTGGGACGCAAAGTTAAAAATCCCCCCCCCCAAAAAAAAGCTCCGAAATGCTCAAAGAAAAATGAAAAATCGTCCCCTTACTATTTCTTGCTATCTCTGAATATTCCTCCTGCAGAGGGACGCGCCCGATTTGAAGCTGCAGGGCGCACGCAGCCTCCAGGCGTGCGCGGCGGCGCCAGCTTCGAGAGCGCGAGGGCGCCGCGCCGCGCTGGCGGGCAGGCCCCCCGTGGCGGGGCGGTCGCAGAGGGGCCCAGGGACGCACGAATAAACACACCCAAATCCCAGGATTCCCCCTTGTTTTGCCATATTTGTGTGGATTTTCGTTTCCCCCCCCACTTCCCACATTTTCGCATAGTTCCCTGGGAATCGACGATGAATGGTGTCCGTGTGTTTTTTCCCTCCTGATTGGAGAGGGCCGGCATGAGGCGACGACGGCGGCGCCATAGCCGCCAAACCGGCCGTCAGGCCCAGTTCCTTAGATCACAACTGAGAACCCCTAAGTGCAAACGCTGTTGGGGAATAGCTCCTCCCTGTCGCACACCAAAGCGTGTCTGTACGTAGCCCAGGCAGGGCGTCTCGCCTGAAAACTGAAATCTGCAACTGTTTCAAGGTTAGTGCACAAGTCAGTTTCAAAATGTGGCTCTCGCCACAGCGCCGCACAAGCTTTGCACCAGATTTCGAGAATGAAGGCCAATTACTTTTCGAAAGGTGGCTCTCACCGTAGCGCCGCGCACAGTCGTTTTGAAAGTTTGTAACCGTTTCGAGGAATCGTGAAAGAGAACTCCCAGGAATGGTTTTCTGGCACAGCTTAGACCCGTCAGGACGCAACAATCAGGTTGATTCACGGTGTTAAATCCCAGGACTGGCGTTCTGGCAAAGGTTAGGACTGTCAGGACGCAACAATCATATTGACTCGCGGCGTTGAAGTCCCGAGAACTGTGTTGGCAAAACTGAAGGGTGTCACACGATTGTCTTTCGATGGGGCACTCCCCGCTATGAAAACAAACTACTGTGGGACCCCAAAAAGAGAGGGAGCTTAGAGGGGGGTTTGATTGCAGCATCGCTGATACTAGAGGGCAGAAAATCCGCCCCGATAATTACCACCCCGACACGCGACGCCGTTTAGTAAACGCACCCAAAGAAGGAATCAAACAGGGCAGGGCTGTTCAGTAAACGCCCAGGGCCGTTGAATGAACGCCAATTGTCGGGTCCGGGTGGTTTTTCCTCCCTTGAGATACGTCTGAGCTTTACACTGGTCCTCCTCCTCCCCGTCCTCTTCTCCTCTGCCTCCGCGAGAGGCCTGCGAGGTCTTGGAGGAGAAGCGGGCGCCCCTCTGCTGCATCCGGTCTCTGTGCCGGGCCTGGCGAGGGGGGGCAGCAAAATAAGAAGAAAAGAAAAGGACAAGGATGAAACAACAACAACAACAACAACAACAACAACAACAACAACAACAACAACAACAACAACAACAACAACAACAACAACAAAAAGAGACGACAGAGAGGAGGAGGAGGAGAAGGAGGAGGAGGAGAAGAAGAAGAAGGAAGAGGAGGAGGAGGAGGAATAAGAGGAGGAATACGAGGGAGCATGATGAAGAGGGAGAGGAGAAGGAAGGGACATAAGAAGGGAACAGATGGATGGATGACACACTTATCGAAGCACTGACAGAAGACGAGTGAGACGAGTGGATATGAAGATTACATTTAAGTAGGAGGTCGACAAATAACCATTCACACCGATCCTGGAACCAAGATTGGCCCGACCAGGATGGGTGTGTTTGTGTGTGCAGAGCTGGCGCCACGCCCTCATGCATGTCGCTGAGCTTGCGCTGCGGCCGACATCCTCTTATCCTCGCCTCCATTGCGAGCAAAGAATCACAATACAACAGAAGACAAGCTCGCATGAAATGGTGAAGTCGGAATCGAGCCAGTCGACGGGATGCCTGGGCAGATGCTTAGGTTCAATGTTGTACTGATGCATGGCAGCATGCCGATCCAGCACATCCTCCGCAACCTGCAGTCGCGGCTGACAGTGACATTGATGCGCTCACGCACCATACTGTCGAGAAGCCTGGCGATGATAAGATCTGTGCCAATTACCGTTTGAGTTGGCCCTCGCATGAGAGTCATGCTCGATGTATTCTGCGTCTGCATATCTTTATTCCTCCCGTCCAGAGCCTGTCAACTCCTGAATTCTATCCGGGCAGGACGATGAGGAAGGAGTGAGAAGAGGAGCGTGAGGGGAGGATGAGGTGAGGAGGGGGATGAAGGGGGAATAAAGAACAAGCAGAAGAGAAAGGAGGTGGAGGATAAGGGGGAGAGTACTGGCATAGCTGATCAGGGACATCGGCTCATGTTTGAAAGCCGGGCAGTGGCTCGTCCTCCCTCCTCCTCCCTCCCACATTCCGCCCATCCTACCTCGAAAAGAATGCAAGGCCGAAGAGATCCGCCAGCCCTGCCGGCGTGTGCGAGGGATTCGAAGCGTGCCCCCTTCCCCTGTGGCCACCCTGGGCCCCTCCCCCTCAAGCCCACCAGCCCGAGGAAAATCGAAGTGCGTGAGAGACGAAAGAGAGGCGTCGCAATGGCGTCAAAAGGGGGGAAGCCCTTCCCGCTGATTCCATCCCCGCAAGGGGGGGGGGAGGCAGTCCTGGGGGTGGTCCTGGGGGGAGGGGGGAAGGTCCCGGGGGGGGAGGGGCCATGCCCCCCCCCCACCGCGGGCCCCTGGAGTGACTCGGGCGACCCTTGGCCATCTGTGGGCCACCGAGGTCCAACAGAGCCCCTCTTCCAACCTCGGCGACTTCGGCGCTCGTAGAGGTGTCGCTCTGGCCGTCTTGGAGGTCCCGGGGGCCGGCCAAAGAAGCCAGCATCGTCTGAACACATTCACTTATACATGTGAGCGTTTCTTTATTCGGCGTGTCGACATTAAGCGAAGAAAGGGGGAGGGGGGGGGTCTGGCTGCGGACTTCTGTTTAGTGCGACTGTTTGCGACAATGGCGTCTATGGGGGAGTGACTGCGCCCGCTCGAAACAGGCGCCAAAAAACAGCCAAGATCCACTCCAGAAGTGGGGGGGAGGGGGGGGTGCGAGGGCCCGCGCCGATCGGCAAAGCAAGGAATAAAAAACGACCACCACCGTGTCAAACGTTCTCGCTGTTTCAAGACAGTCCAAGAAGCCCCGGAAGACTGGCCAGCCCACCCGTCCAACGTGAATCAAGCCTGGCAAGATGCTCACTGAAGGCCCCCAGGAGGCCCCAACGCGCCCCCAAGGGAGCCTCAAAAGGCACCCAGGGGCGCCCCAAGAGGCCCCCCCGAAGGCTGCATGAGGCCTTCGAGGCCTCTGTGACACGACCCAGGCGCGGCGGCAGGAGAGGCCGAGAGCCACGTGATTCTCACACGCCCGCATCCAGCCCGCCGCCTCCCCGTGGCCCCGTCCCCTGATCCGTCAGTTGGAGGGGCTGACCGTTCAATTAGGGGAAGTCCCTCCCCCGGCTCTGGACGGGGGGGGCAGGGCGAGGGGTTAGAGAGTCCACTTGTGCCCAGCATGGCTCCAAGAGGGCCTCCAACATGGCTGAAGCTAGGGAAGACTTGAACGGGCATGGTGTTGGCCATGTCTCCAAGATTCTTGCGCCCAGGCCGGCCTTTTTCAGGCGTCGGCGGAACCAGCCGCGGAGCCCATGTAGTCATCCTCTTCCTCCCTCACCCATCCCCCGTCCTCGAGTGAATAAATTGAGCGCGAATTAGAGGGGGGCGATAAACGGGGGGAAGAAAGGCGCCTTTTTGGGGGCCCTAGAAAAACCCCCCTCGGACCCGAAAGGGCCCCTTTAGGGGCCCTCAAGGGCCCCTTTTCTGCAGCCCTCGCTGCCCCCCCGTTTATCGTCGCCCCCCCTTTTCTGCAGCCCCCTCGCTGCCCTGCTCGTTCGCCCCTCCTGCCGCCGCACCGGGGCCGCGCGGGGGACGGCAGCGGGTGCGCTCCATCAGCTGCTTGGAGATGCCTGCCTCGCACTGGCTCTCGAGGATCGCGGGGAAGGCCTCCGTGCGGGCGGCCCCGCTAGCGACGCGAGCAAAATCCAAGACAAAGAGGAGGAGGAGGAGGAGGAGGAGGAGGAGGAGGAGGAGGAGGAGAGGAGGGAGGAGGGAGGGAGGGAGGGAGGGAGGGAGGAGGGAGGGAGAGGGAGGGAGGGAGGGGAAGGAAGGAGGAGGAGAAGAAGGTGGAGGAGGAGGAGGAGGAGGAGAGGAAGGGAGGAGGAAAGAGGAGGAGATAGGAGGAGGAGGAGAAGGAGGAGGGATGAGGAGGAGGAGAGGGGGGAGGAGGAGAGGAGGTGGGGGAGGTTGAGGAGGGGGAGGAGGAGGGCGGTCCAGTTGGCGGCGCGAGCAAAGCGGAAGGAAGGGTCGGCCTTCTGAAGAGGAGCATCCCCGCCGTGCAGAGCGCGCGGGAGCGTGTGGGTTTCCGAGGGGCTGGTCCTCTGGTAAGAGGCCCTGCGTCCGCGTGGAAGCCGCACTTGTCGCCCTGGTCCCTGCTGTGCGCACCCGGGCCTTGTTGCCCGCCGGTGCGGACGGGAATGGCTCGATTCTACGGTTCGGTATGGGTCGGCTCGGGCTGGCTCAGTCCATCCTCGAGGGGGAGGGCCGAGGATCAGGGGAGGGTCTCCCGCACCCAGCGCCTGGGAGAGCTGAGATGAGTCAGGCAAGCACGTTTTGTCCTCCTACTCCTCCCCCTTCCTCCACTGGTTCTCGCCTTCCCAAGCCTCCTCCTCCTCCTCCTCCTCCTCCTCCTCCACTCCTCCTCCTCCCTCCTCTCCTCCTCCTCCTCCCTCCTCCTCCTCCTCCTCCTCCTCCTCCTACCTCCTCCTCCTCCTCCCCTCCTCCTCCTCCTCCTCCTCCCTGTTCGTCCTCCGCCTCCTCTCCCTCCCTCCCTCCCCCTCCTTCCTCCCCCCTCCCTCACTCCCTCCTCCCTCTCCTCCTCCTCCTCCTCCCCCTCCTCCTCCATTCCTTTAGCATATAAATAACTTATCCCTGTCGCACCCTGAGGCCAGTTTTTAAAGCGGGCCGGGCGTTTCGCCTGAGACTTCCGCACCCTTTATGACCCTGAAGCTTCCAAATTGGCAACAGATTCACAGGTGGAGGGCGGGTCGTTTTCAAAATATGGCTCTCGCCTTAGTGCCGCACTCATTCGCTTTGAAATTTGCAAGAGCTTCCCAGATTGAGGGCGGGTCGTTTTCAAAATGTGGCTCTCGCCTTAGCGCCGCGCACATTCGTTTTGAAATAATGCGAAAGTTTCACAGATTGAGGGCGGGCCGTTTTCAAAATGTGGCTCTCGCCTAAGCACCGCGCTCATTTGTTTTCAAAGTTTGCATGAGCGCACATTCGTTTCAAACTGTGCAAAGAGTTTCACGGATTCCCATGATCACAGTACCAGAAAAGGTGTCTTGGAGCGAATCAGGATTATGAGGGTGCACGGTGCAACTTACGTTCATTCGCGTTGTTGAAGTCCCAAGAACGGCGTTCTGGCATGATTCAGGATCACAAGACGCAACAATCAGGTTGATCCGTGGGGTTGGAACCCCGAGAACAATGTTTTGGCATGCTTCAGGGTCTTCAGACGGCTGTCTTCCAACGGGGCAGTTCCTTCAATGGAAATGAATCGTTGTAGGGCCCTCTGAAGAGGGAGCTTGGAGAGAGGGTTTATTACAACATCGTTGATGACTCTGGAGTTTACACTGGTCCTCCTCCTCCTCCTCCTCCTCCTCCTCCTCTTCTTCCTTTTCCTCCTCCCCCTCCCTCCTCCTCCTCCTCCTCCTCCTCCTCCTCCTCCTCCTCCTCCTCCTCCTCCTCCTCCTCCTCCTCCTCCTCCTCCTCCTCCTCCTCCTCCTCCTCCTCGAACTAAAACAACAAACGCAAGAACCAGAAGAAACGCTAGGTCCAGGAGATTGTCACGGGCACTTACCAGCGACGGCTCGACCCTATTTGGCAGAGGGCAACGCAGGGTGCGGTTGTGCTCGTCACGTGTCAACGACAAGGGCGCGGGGGAAAAATCTTTACGCTACTCGTGACATGGCAAAGATGGGGCGCGGGGAGACAACCTGGTTCTGCTCTAGTCGTCGCGTGGCGACGCCAGTGGGAGGGAACATCCTGTTATAACTCCATGTGATTCTCGTCATCGCATGACATCGCACATCTGCAGAACACAAACTGGTTTACTCTACTCATCAGTCGGTAACGCCTTGGGCCACACAAGCAGTACGTGTTTGCTTTTTTCCTCACGTGGCAGCCCAGGGACATATCCCACGCCACATGGCGCAACCCGGGGGGTAAGGAGGGCATCATGATAAACAACAAGAAAAGGACTCGACGCATGACCTCGTCATGGGCGAAGACATGTACGATCCCACTTTCGTCATCACATGTCGGCGACCAGTCCAGGGGGAAGTGAGAGGGGAGGGGCCTTCTGAGAAGGCTCGGAAAGGCCTCGGGCCTTCTGAGAAGTGTCCTAAGCCTTCCCTGAAGACACAGAAAACTCCTCAAAAGCCAGAGGGTTTCTGAGAAGTCCCGCCGCCTTTTGAGACCTCCCCGAAGGGGAAGAGGGAGGGGTGGAAGAGGAAACGCTCTAAACCACCAACGCCCAGAGGGCTGGTGGAATTCAAGGGAATCCCCAGGAATCCTTGTGGGACCCCATCGGGATACTCAGGAATCGACCTTAGGAACCCATGGGAATCCAAAGGAATCCGTAGGAATTGTCATCACCCTCCAGGAATCCCTCAGAATCTTGAGAACTCCCAGGAATCCTTCAGGAGCCCATCGGAATCTTCAGGAATCCGTCAGGAATTCATAGGAATCCTCTGGAATCTGGAGGCATGTTTTGGGAATTCATCCAAGGAATCCTCGGGGTGTCATTGGGATTCCAATTGATTCCGGATTGTTCTTGCGGACCTGCGGATTCCTATCGAGTTCTGAGGGTTCATATGGGTGTCGGTATCAGAGAATCGTAAGGGTTCTGGGGGATTCTCATGTTTCCTCGGAATTGCAAAAGGTTCCTGTGGTTTCAAAAGAAATTCTTACGAAGAACCCGCTCTGGACTCCAACTGATTCCTGAGGGTGCCTTCTGATTCCCCATGATCCTCAGAGAGTCAGAATTCCATGATTGTTGAATGATTATTTCGGATTCCTATGGATCCCAGAGGATCCCGACAGAGCCCGAAGGATTCCTCAGGATTCGTATGGATTCCCGAGGGTCCTTGGTGATTCCCCAATCCTCTAATGAATCGCGCTGTCGCTCGGGACGTCCTCGCGATTTGCCCAGAAATCGCGCTCTCGCTTTCTCTTTCTTTGCAATTTAAACACTGTCGCCTAGACCTCTCGCCCAGGCATTGTTCACCCTTCCCTCAGGAATCGAGCTCTCGCCCGATAGTTCTTCGCAGTGTACGCAGGAATCTATGTTTGTTATTATTATTTTGTTTGCTTGTTTCTCTCTCTCGCTCTCGCTTTCTCTCTCTTTCAATGAGTCCTCGTTTGAGACGGTGGCGATAATGATGCTGTTGGTGTTGTTGAATCGTGCTGATGATGTTGATGGTGGTGGTCATGCTGGTGGCCAGTATGCGAATGATGATGGCCATGACGATGAGGGTCGTACCCATGATGATGATGATGATGATGATGATGATGATGATGATGATGACGGTGTTTGTGATGGAATTGGTGATGGTGAGATGCTGTGGGTGATGAGGTTGCTGATGACGAGGATGATGCTGGTGCTGATGAAAATGGTGGTGATAATGGCGGTAAGTATGTAAACGGTGCCGATGTTGATGCTGATGACTGTGCTTGTCTTGCTGATGCAGGCGACGATTATGATCGTGATGGCGATGTTGGTGATGATGCGTTGCTGATGCGGGCTGCGAGGGTCATGGTGCTATTTTTGCGATGTGATGGTGGCGATGATTATGGTGGCGGTGCGGGTGTTGATTGCGGCGACAAGGGTAGTTTCGGTGACGATGTTGGCGACGGCGGTAATGTTAATGACGACGGCGACGACGATGATGATGACGACGATGCGGTTGTTGCTGCTAATTCTGCTACAAGTAATGCTGATGATGACGAATGCAGCAGCAGTGGCTGGGGCGGCGATGCTGAAGATGACGATGAGTATGCTGATGATGCTGGTGCTGGTGATGGTGACGATGGCGATCGGATGATGGTGAAGAAGGGAACCTTCGTAACGAAGATGTTTTATCAAGTTCCCCTTAAGATTCTTTATTACACCAGGGAATAAACCCAATGAGTGGCTGGTTTGAAAATATGGATATTGAGATCCATTGTGAGATCGACCGACAATGATATGGATAGTGGAAAATTGCTAGCGAAGACGATTGTATGGTCAATTGAGGGACCAGTCGTGAAGTCGATTCGATGAGATCGATAGTGAGGTCAATCGTGTAATCGTTCGTGCGATCTATAACTAGCCCGATTTGTGAGATCGGTAATGAGATCGATTGTTAGATCGATAGCTAGATCGATGAGAGGTGGGTAACCCACGGTGGGTAATGAGATCGATGATGAGACCAATCGATAAAGAAAAAAAACAAGAACCTCGGAAACCGAGATACCCGCAGCCCAAAAAAACCGGCCCGGAACCCAGGAACGGGAACCTGGGAACCCGGCCGCCCACCGCAATCGGCCTGGATATTTCGCCAAGTTTCCAATCAATTCCGTTTCTCGTAGTACGGATTATTCGCGAAAGTTCCCTTCGTGCGGATTCGGTACAGGATCCCTCGGAAGGGTCATTCGCCAAACTTCTTTCAGTATGGATGATGGAACAAAGCCTTCTTAGTACGAATTATGGATTAAGGTTTTCTGAGTAAGGATTCCCAAAGATTATTCGCAAATGTTTTTCGTACGGATGATTTAGTATGTTTCGTTTAGTACGGATTATGTGCTAAGGTTCCCTCAGTGCGGAATTGTTACAAAGTATCCTTACTACGGATTATTCGCTAATGGTTCCTGAATAAGGATTCGTTACTACAGGTTCTTCCCTTGGTACGTCATCATTTAAACAAGGTTCCTGGAGACAAAAAAAAGACTAAGGGTTCCGTAGTGAGGATTCCGTAGCACGGGTTCCTTAATACAGATTTTGTCCGAAGGGTTTCTTAGTAAGGATTCCTCACTACAGGATTATTTAGTAAGGGCGTCTGAGTTATGATAATTCATGCGGTTTCCCGTAGTAACAAATTAGGTACTACGGGTCTCTAGATCCAGATTATTAATTCAAGTTCCATTAGGAAGGATTATGTATTCAGTTCCCATTAGGGCCGACTCTTCTCGCAGGTTCCCTTTAGTATTGTTTTTTTTCGCGAAAGCTACCGAGTAGGACTTTTGTATCAAGGTTCCCGTAGTAAGGATTATTTACAAAGATCCCCTTGGCAAGAATTATTTACGAAGGTTTTTCGTAAGGATTAGATATCAATCATTAAGGGTTCCTTAGTACGGGCTTCTTGTTCAGGACTCCTTGGCATGGATTATTTACTAAGGGGGATTCCTCATCAATGCTCCCGAAAACAGATTTTTTACTAAGGTTCGCTGAGTCGGGATTCCTTATTAAAATTCCCCTGGTATGGACTCTTCATTAAAGGATCTTTAGGAAGGCTTTCGTTATGAAAGTTTCTTAATAAGGATTCTTCAGTCAGGGTTCCACAAGGATTCCTTTCTCAGGTCCCACTGGCAACGATTCTTGATTGAGGGCTCCTTAATGGGAATTCCTCACTAAGGTTCCTTTAGTAAGGATTCTTTGTTCAAAGTTCCATAGTAGGGTTCCCTTACTAATGGTGCAGTAAATCCGAGCTTGCGTGGGGACGACATGGCCTGGGAGGTTTTGTCGCTCTCAAGCGCCCTAGCTTCGTCGACGGGACCAGGCAGTCGGATGAATTCCCGCCGGAGGCCGGTGCGGTGCGATGCGGTGCTCGCCCCCCCCTGTCCCCAGAGAGGGCGTCAGAAACCCGGCGTACCTCCCGTGGGGAGCGACAGGGAAGCTCGCCCCGTAGGAAGGGGCTTCGAAAACCGGCGTTCCCTTGTTGATGTTGTTCTTGATGTTGTTTTGTTGTTGTTGTTGGTTGGTTGTTGGTTGTTGGTTGTTGTTGTGGATAGTGTTGTTGATGTTGGTGTTGTTGTTGATGTTGCTGTTGTTGTTGATGTGTTGTTGTTGCTGGATGTTGTTCTTGGGTTGTGATGATGCCGCTGATGATGACGACGATGGGGATGATGATGCTGATTATGATGATGATGCTGATGATGCTGATATTGATGATGATGGTATTGATGATGATGATGCTTATGTTGCTGATGATGTTGATGAGTACTATGATGGTGGTGGTGATGGTGATGATAATGACGATGATACTGATGATGATAAAGATGTTGTTGACGATAGTGATGATGATGATAATATTAATAATGCTGATGAGATTGATGATATTGATGATGGTGGTGGTGATGAGGCCGATGACGATGATGCTGATGCTGATGGTGGTGGTGTTTGTGGTGGTGATGGTGATGATGATGCCGACGATGATGCTAATAATGATGATGGTGATTATAATGAAGATGAGTATGGCGGTGATGATGATGCTGATGGTGCTGGTGTCGATGGTGGTGGTGCGGCGGAGCATCAAAATGTTGATAAGGACGGGAGGTAGATATGTGGAGGGAAAGGACGAGTCAAGGGGAAGTGGATGAAGGGGGGGGAAAGATGACGAGGAAGAGGACTGCCAGGGGAGGACAAACAGGAGCACTGATGAGGCGGGGGGGATAGGGAATGGCGCATTATTGGGTTCGGTGTTTGTTTCCGCCCCCGGGTCTTCGGTGGCAGGCGTGTCCTCTGAAATGCTGCCCTCCGTTTCGACAATTACACAGTATGAATACTGCTCTCCTCTCTCCCCTGATGCCGTCCGGTAGATATTCGCCCCCCCTCCGCGTACTGTTTTACACAAGCTTCCCGGAAACTGAAATGCTGCTCCCTCTGAGGCGCTGGCCTCATTTTCAGGCTTCCGCTCGTTCCGAATCGTGTTCCTGCTAAAATGCTGACCTCATTTCCGCGCTTCCGCTCGTTCCGAATCGTGTTGCCGCTGCAGCGTTGGCGTCATTTCCGCGTTTCATCTCGTTCCGAATCGCGTTCCCACTGCAGCGCTGGCGTCATTATTTCCACTACCATACCACGGCATGATTTTCGGTCCTTCCATATAGGCTACAAAATCTAGAAAATGGCTCCCGACAAAAACCATCGGAAATGGTTACACGTTAGGTGCCAAGCCTTTGATTTCTGGACCGCAGAAGCCCCCCACATTGGAGCGTCGCAACGCCATGTTATGTCATGCTACACGCTGATCTTCAACACCATGCTATGCCATGTAATGCTATGCCATTCTACGACATCAGACTGTGCGACTAGAGAGGAGATCTACGCCATGGTATGGGATGGGAGGGAGGGGAACGCGAGCGCACCCAGCTTGCCTTCACCCCCCTCCTCCCCTCCCGCCCACCCTTGGAAAGAAACGCCGCCGCTGGGTTTCCCCAGGAACCAGGAAACGCGACGGGCGTCCCCCACAATACGCGCGGGCCGCCCTGGGATTTTGCGTTTGGTTCCCCGCGCAAATCCATGTGTTTGGCTTTCTCGCCTTTTCGCTTCCGATGGCCACCCGAAGCTCCAATATGGTTCCTAGATGGCCCAAGAGGGTTCCAAGAGCGCTCCCAAGGCGCCCGAGAGCGTTTCAAGAGGGCCCCAAGAAGCACCCAGGAGGCCCCAGGAGGCCCCAACAGGCGCCCAATAGGCCTCCAAGAGGCTCCCAAGAGACCCCCAAGAAGCCCCATGAAGCTCTCCGAATCACCCAAGACGCTCTCAGAGGCGCCCGGGACCGCCAAGAGGCCCCCAAGACGCTCCAAGAGGCCTCCACTGGGGGGACCCTTCCTCTGCGCGCTGCCCACTTCCCTGATCGAGGCAATTCCTCTGGGCACCGCTTCTGGACGGGCTGGCGGGGATACTTTTTTGCTCGCAACCGCTAGCGGGCAGCGGCGCGGCGTCAACAGTCGAATGACGCCAGGCCTACGTGCAGGGCGAGAGCCTAAAGAACAGCTGGCAAGCGTGGAAGGCAGAGCAGGGGGAAGAGCGCGAGCGGCGGACGGGCAGAGGAGAAGAACGGGCGACTAACGCGGAAAACTCAAAAGCCTACGACCACGCCCAGACGCACCAGGAACCCGTCGTCCTCGGAGTACGTGCACAGCAACGTGTGACCGCATGCGGCCTGCGAATCGGCGTCGATCAGATACCGTGAGCCAAACGGCGTGGGCCCGCCGCGTGGACGAGCGTGAAATAAACGCGTCCATGACCCTGCGTCCCAATAACCCAACCGCCAGAACGAGTCGACGAAGGGGCATGGCCAGGAAGGACACGAAGGCTCCTATCGCGAGAGCCGACCAGGAGAATCGAAAGCTGCCAACCCAGCCCGTCCATCAGGACCGCCGCGGGACAGCCGACGTAGAACGAAGAACCCACAGGCCCGCGCGACCCGGGGGGAGCACGGAGGGCCTGGGGCGTGCCGTAGAGGGGGGGCGGCTAACAGCCGCAGAAATGTGTGGTGAGCGAATGGGGTCGCAGCTAACAGCCGCGGGGGATGGGTGCACTATCGCGAGTGGGGTCGCAGTTAACAGCCGCGGAGCAAGTGTGTAAAGGGCGGACCGTGAGCCTCCAGTGGGGGAGAGCCACAAGGGGCAACGGGAGGGGCAACGGGACAGTCGAACCGGGGTGCCTATTGTCAGCTTGCCTCGACGCCCCGGGGGGAGCGTCGGCACGTCGTCGAGATAGTCATGTGTGAGTTAGCGGAGGGCAGCCATACTGAGAGGGGGGGCGGCTAACAGCCGCGGAGATAGTAAGAAGACGATCGGGCCTGAGCATCTCGGCGGGGAGCCGTAGAGTGGGGGCGGGGGTGCACGACGAGACCGCTGCGTGCAGGCCCTGGCCCCCCCCCCCGGGGGGGAGCACTAAGGGCGCGGGCAGAGTGTGAGTGGCGCCTGCGGCAGACACCCGCGGGTAGTGGAGACACGGTGGAGAGAGCCGCACGAGGAAGGTGCGAGAGGCAAGGGGGGGCGGCTAACAGCCGCAGCGAGCGTGTAAAGAGTGCGAGGGGGGCGGGCCGCCAGGCTGGATGGTCAGCGGGGGCCCGGCGCCAGCATACGGGGCAGCACGGGGCTGCAAAGGGGTTGCCGCAGGGGCTCTAGCAGTGACTGGGGCCCACTAGGAAGGGTCCAATTCCCGAGCCGCCTACAGCGTGCCGGGGGGGGGGGGCAGTCATCCAGCGGGAAAGGGGCCGCAAAGTGGCGCCCCGGGAGGGACTCTGAGGCCTCGGACGGGCCGCCAGCCCCAGCTGGTCACGTCCAAGGTGGTATTAGCGCACACAAGAAGGTGCGCAGGAGAAGCCGACCTGCCCCGTGGCCAGGAGGGGTGGGGTTCCGAGGGGCACCCTGAGGTATAGTGTGGGGCGTCCACGAGTGCCGTAGTGCGTGACCGCCTGAGCGGTCTGGGCGAGACCTAGGAGTACGCCCAGGGGCTGGCGCGAGCCTGCTGCCCTCCTGGGTTCCACCGTTCTTGTCCACCGGGCGTCGCTGTCTTCGCGAGGCAATTTGCCTTTGGCCTTACTAGGGGTGCCCGCGGTCCTAGCTCTGTCGCTGACACGAGCGCGGACTGCACCCCAGTTGACCCCAAGGTGGAGCGCAGTGTCCATCTTGAAAACGTTGCATTTGTGACTGAGCCACTCCTTGAGAAAGCGCGTGCAGGACTCGGGCTGCTGGCGCGTAGGGTGGGCGCAGGGGCGGCCCGTCGGCGGGGGATGCTTGGCCGTCCACTGATGCCATACGCCATTGAAGTAGTCACCCAGTTCCCTCTGAAGCCTTTTCACAGTCTCGGCAGGAGCCTCGCCAATGGGGTTCAGGATGTCGACTCGCTCCAGAGGGGCGTTGTAGATGTAGACCCTGTCTCTGGGTCGTGCAGGTCTTGTGAGTATTCGGCTTGGGCACTCCTGTGGTCGTGCAGGTCTTGTGAGTCGTCGGCTTGGGCACTCCTGTACGAGGGCCAGGGGCCTGACCGGGGAGTGGGGAGGTCGTCGGGCATGGGGGTTGTGTGCGTACGTGTGGACCGGCTCCAGCGGCTGGTGAACGTGTAGAATTCCTACGGATTCTTATGGATTCTTGAGAATTCCTACAAGTCCTTGGGGGGTCCTGATGTTTCCTGTAGATCCCTGGGGATCCAACATATTCTCAAAAATCAAGAGGGGTTCCTGCGGATTTCTCTTGGTTCCTACGTATGCAAATGGGTTCCTGGGGATTCCGATGGATCCCTAGAGACCCTAAGGATTCCTCAGGATTCCTGGGGATTGCTGGAGATTCCTGGGGATCCCTCCGGGTTCCCAAGGATTCCAGACGATTCCTAAACATGCCTGGAGTTTACTAAAATGCAACGGATACCCACGGATTCTTAAGTATAGATTCCTAAGGACTCACACGTCTCCTTTTTGGGATTCTCACGGATTCCTGAAGAGTCCAAAGGAATCCTGGTGAGTCCTAAGGATTCCTGGGAATCCCTGGGGACGCACGGAATCCTAAGGACCCCAAGGGATTCCCACGGATCCAAAGGGATTCCGATGGATTCCTTGGAAATCCTGGGCATTCCTGAAGATTCTTTCTTATTCCTATGGAATAATGGGAAATCCGATAAGTTCCTCAAGTTTCCTGCGGAGCCCTGTGGAGTCCTGACGATTATTCTGGGTCCCCGTGGGGTCTTATGGATTCCTGGGGATTCCCTGGGATTCCTGAAAACCTCGATGGGGACCTCGAGGTTCCTGTGGATTCCTGCGGATTCCTCTGGTTCCTTTGCGATTCAAATGGGTTGGTTCGTGAAGATTACTGTGGTGCCCGAAGGATTCCTAAAGAATGTATAGATTACAAAATTCCTTCGGAGTCCGAGTGATCCCTGCGGAAACCAAAACGTGCCTGCGAAATCCTCCAAATTCCGATGGATGTTTAAAAGATTCCTGTAGATTGCTACGGATTCCGTACGTTTCCCATGAATGCCGGGGGATTCCATCTGACCCTAATGATGGTTCCCCACGGATTCCTGCGGACCCCTAAAACATTCCAAAGGATTCCAAGGGATTCATGAAGATCCCTGAGGAATCCGCAAGAGTCCAGAAAGGAATCCGCTGGAATCCTTCGGAATATGGGATAGTAATTTGAATGTTTGGGGACACAACAAGATTTTCACCAACCCGTGAGAGACATGGAGAATCCACAGGAATCCATCCGATGGAATCCTTAGGAATCCTCAGTTCCCCGAGGACTCCTTCAGAATTCCTCAGGAATCCCCAATGAGTCCTGAGGGATCCTTAAGAACCCCCAGGACTCCAACAAAAAATTGCACACATCCGTGGGCCATCGGCCTGGCCAGCGGCAGCGCTAATCGGCGGCAACCCGACCCAACGAGGGACGGACAGGGGACCGACCACGACGACGACGACGAAGACGACGACGACGACGACGACGACGACGACGACGAAGACGACGACGACGACGACGATTACGACGGCGACGGCGACGACGACGACGAGCGAAAGCGAGAGCGAGCGCGAGAGAGACAGCGGGGCCACGAAGGGCAGAAAGGGGGCCACAAAGGGCGACGGCGGGGCCACGAAGGGCATGCTATGGGGCCACGAAGGGCGCGAACGAGCGGGGGCCACGAAGGGCAGATCATGCGGGGCCACAGAGGGCAACGACGGGGCCATTGAGGGTAGCAACGGGGCCACGTAGGACAGCGAGGGGGCCACAAAGGGCGACAGCGGGGCCACGAAGGGCATGCAGATGGGGCCACGACGGGCGCGAACGACCGAGGGGCACGAAGGCCATACGTGCATTGGGCAGCAGAGGGCAAGGACGGGACCACCGAGGGCAGCAACGGGGCCACGAAGGGAAGCGAGGGGGCCACGAAGAGCGACAGCGGAGCCACGAAGCGCATGCACATGGGGCCACGACGGGCGCGAACGAGCGGGGGCCACGAAGGGCATACATACATGGGGCCACGAAAGGCAGCGAGGGGGTCACGAAGGGCTGCAACGGGCCACGAAGGGCAGCAAGGGGGCCACGAAGGGCTGCAACGGGGCCAAGAAGGGCAGCGAGGGGGCCACGAAAGGCTGCAACGGGGCCAAGAAGGGCAGCGAGGGGGCCACGAAGGGCTGCAACGGGTCCACGAAAGGCAGCGAGGGGGCCACGAAGGGCTGCAACGGGGCCTCGAAGGGCAGCGAGGGGGGCCACAAAGGGCGACAGCGGGGCCACGAAGGGCATGCAGATGGGGCCACGACGGGCGCGGACGAGCGAGGGCCACGAAGGCCATACGTGCATTGGGCAGCAGAGGGCAAGGACGGGACCACCGAGGGCAGCAACGGGGCCACGAAGGGAAGCGAGGGGGCCACGAAGAGCGACAGCGGAGCCACGAAGCGCATGCATATGGGGCCACGACGGGCGCGAACGAGCGGGGGCCACGAAGGGCATACATACATGGGGCCACGAAAGGCAGCGAGGGGGTCACGAAGGGCTGCAACGGGCCACGAAGGGCAGCAAGGGGGCCACGAAGGACTGCAACGGGGCCAAGAAGGGCAGCGAGGAGGCCACGAAGGGCTGCAACGGGGCCAAGAAGGGCAGCGAGGGGGCCACGAAGGGCTGCAACGGTCCACGAAAGGCAGCGAGGGGGCCACGAAGGGCTGCAACGGGGCCTCGAAGGGCAGCGAGGGGGGCCACAAAGGGCGACAGCGGGGCCACGAAGGGCATGCAGATGGGGCCACGACGGGCGCGAACGAGCGAGGGCCACGAAGGCCATACGTGCATTGGGCAGCAGAGGGCAAGGACGGGACCACCGAGGGCAGCAACGGGGCCACGAAGGGAAGCGAGGGGGCCACGAAGAGCGACAGCGGAGCCACGAAGCGCATGCATATGGGGCCACGACGGGCGCGAACGAGCGGGGGCCACGAAGGGCATACATACATGGGGCCACGAAAGGCAGCGAGGGGGTCACGACCGGCGCGGCGGACGCAAGCCCGCATCGCCAGGCCTCGTGAGGCCACCCGCTGAGCCCGCCGACCAGCGCGACGAAGACGGGGCTGCCCCCCAGCGACCGGCGACCGACCCCGCACCCCGACGACCGCGGGCCAGTCGGCGGGCGCGCGCGGCCGGGCCTTCAGCAGGTCGTGGTGCACGAGCACCTCCGCCAACGACACAGAGGAGGGCGCGCGGGCGGGAGGCCACGCGATCGGCACGGGCCCTGCCCCCTCGCTCCTCCCCCTCCGCGTCCTCCGCCTCCTCCTGACACCCTCCCGGGTCACTGTAGGCAGGCAAGGGGGGGCCACTGGAATCCTGGGGACTAGAGGGACCACTGGAATGCCCCAGACATGTCTGATGCCGTGAAAGGGGGAAGCTACAAGCCTCGTCAAAAATAAACAGAAGACTTGTGAATTCGG